CAACCCCCCAAACCTTGCAAAGAGTCTCCAAGCTGAAAATATTTATGCAAAGCTCCATGGTCACATAATTCCTAGATGTTTTAAAAGCACCATTTGCAATGCTTGTAAAGAAGGGATTCAGGCATTATTCAAATAGTACATAGTCTCCAGCAGTTTTTCCTCAACATAACTTAGAGCATTTCAGGTTGCAATGACATTCTTTTAACAACTCCTACCAGCGCTATTGCTAAATGCAGGTTCGTGGTGTCCAGAACTGAAGGACATTCTCTGCAGCATCAGTCCTTGAGAGCTCAGGGTAAATCCTGCTTCCTCCCAGGGGCAATTCCAATACGCATAAGCACATGAATGAATCACATCTTGCAAAAGTCRTAAGTTTTTTTCTATTTAATGCATTTAAAATAATATCATCAGTTCTCGGTCCTTCTCTTACCTATGAATACTTAATATGTTAATTTATATTGGATCTTATGATCAAAAAAAAACCCCACACGAATTACGGAGAGCATCACAAGCTGAAGGTCAACTGCAGGATTCCAATTTSCAGGATGTCTGAGACCACTGAAATTTAGATGCAAAAGCAGGAGCAGTGGAAAAAAAGCATCTAGGGGAGACAGCAGCTTARACCAGCATGGCCTCTAGAGCCACCAGGCATAATTCTGCTTATAACTTCGGTGAGGGAAGTACATACTGAGCTCCCTAGCACTACTAATACTCAAACATAAGTTTAAAGTTAAGCATCTGGTTTAATGCTCTGCCAGACCCTTCATGGCTTTACAGTGAGTAAATATATTCCTGCCAGAGCTCTGATGATCAAGAAGAAAAGAGCAGGAGCGCTATGCAATGGGGCATATAGAGGTATGCACATTCTATASATCAATTTTCTGTTATATTCTTTATTTTAAAGGGTAGTGAGGAAAATGGAAAAATGAAATTGAATGCTAATAAAACTGGCCATAAGTAATTCTTTCTTACGCACTGGAATTATGCTGCTGAAATAAAACATATAAGCACAGGAACTTTACAGTATTTCCAACTCACTTGGAATACAGATTATTACAAATGCCACGTTATGTATTGCATAATTAAAGATAATTTACCCAATGCAATAGAAAAGAATTTATTGGAAGACACAGTCCTTTAGCTTAGCGCAACTGCTTACAGGTTATTAATTTAAATTCTTAATTGACTGTCAAAATAAATAAATAAATAAAGCATATATCAGAGTTCATGCTCATGTCAGTTAATACACAAAAAGTGTTAATATTTGATGAACTAGGGTATGAAAAGATTTTCAGGGCTTGAAGCAAATGTGCGGCCTTTGCTCTCCCTTTTGAAATGAAATACAGATGGAAAAATGAAGAAAAAACTGCACTCATCTTTGTACAATACCTTGACATTATTTGAATAGCCTAGAGAATGAAATAAATCATTAGCTGCAGAGAACTGACATTATTATTTGCTGTGAGACTACAAAGTTACCTCTAAGAGCTTGATCCCAAACTCACTGAACTCAGTGGCAAAGCCAGCAATGATCTTCAGCAGCAAAAGATGTGGATTTACTGAATTTAATTTCTGGGCCTTTGGAAAACATAACTGCTACCAATGAGGCTATATGGAAACAGAYGAGTCATAGACAGGGAGCTCACTAGCAACCCAGGATTCATCAAAAGTTAATATAAAGATTTCATATATAAAGATATGGAGAATTTTGTTAAACTACAGAACAGCAAGACAACTCAAATATAATCTAATTACTGAGACCGTCAAGAATCTGCAATTGAAGGGTCATTCAAAATTTTTTTTTGCATGTAAATTTTTTGCATGTAAACTAAATTCAGTATTAAAAAATATATTTCATATGGGTAATGCATTTGCTACTAAAGAGTAAAGAACACTCAAAGAAAAATGAAGGTAAAGGGTATATTCTGCAGATTTCATTTTGCATTACTACTGCCAGGTCTTTACCGGCTAAGTAATTCCCTTCAAATACATCGTCAAATACATTTAAGCACTATACCGTTGGATGAAAATTCTGTTGGCAGGTATATCATTTAACGCAGAAAGAGAGAACAGTGTTTCATTTTCTTTTCAGAAGCAGACATAAAGTTTTAAAAAGTTATTAGGTGCTATTTTGTGATATATACACACCCCTTGAGGCCTAGTCAYAAGCACTGTGTTACATACCTTGTTAGGCTAAGCCTAACTTCCATTTTAGTTCTGCATTTCACCTTAAGGAGTTTATTCTGTCTTCAGTGTTGACAAACAAGTATTTTCAAATTGTTTTTTTCAAATTCCATTTTGCAAGTAAAATCGTTTAGTAAAAATTTGGCAACATAAAGAGGTTTATTAAATGATGCAAAAAGGAACTATATATGCATATGGCATAAGGAGATACTCAGTAATAACAGCAATGATCAGTTTTAAAAGCTACAAAGAAGCACTTCCTACACTGCACTATAGTCTTTTCAAATACTAAACAGCTTTTAAATGCCAGAACWATTTGACCTGTCAAAGTACAGAAATATGAAAGGCTTTCTCTGAAGAGGGAAAAAAAAAAAAAAAAGATGGCAGATTACGAAGATTATTACAATTTTCTAGCATTATTTAGAAAACATTTTAGGAAAATGCCTAGTTGCTAATGCTATAATCATCACCATCATCACACAGACGTACCCATTCTGCTGCTGCCAGTTCCTTTATTTTCACCGTGAATGCCACTGCAAACCTAGTTAAATGGACAAAAAATGGTTGGGATCATCTGCTTAAAACGATTAAACATAACAACAGAGAAACGCTACAGAAAAGAAATCTTTATAAGAACAAAAAGTGGAGGCTGATAAAAGCAATTATAGATTTAAAGACAGAAAGCAGGCATTCTATTTATTTTGCCAGAAAATACCAGTAAAACAAATGATATCTCTTCAGGGTGTAACTGGATTCACTATTTAGTATCATTGTGGGTTAAGATGATGACTTATTACGGTAAGAGAAAAAAAATAACAACAGGAATATCCCCTGCATATCTAGATTAATCCACACAGCTTCAGTAGTGAGTCAGTTCTTCCTGTTTCTACATCCTTGCAAGCCAAAATAGCCACTTTCTAAGCCAGAAAATCTGTCAGGAAGGGAGTGTAGGTCTAGATAGCTCCATGCTATAATTATTAGACAATGTCAAGTCTCACTATTTGCAAATTGCTGCAACTAAATTGAATGCAAGTCGAGCACACGTGTAGTACATGTATGCAAGGCAGTACCACTCCACAGTTACCAATAATTATACCAGGGACCATCTAAAGGCAAAATGGATATCCACAGTTCTCCTGTTTGGGTACCTCATTGCTGTGAGGCTTCAAACACTGAAGCCTGATTTCTAAAYGTTTTAGATACATCAAGCTCCAAGTAAGAATAGCGTGGTTGACATCTACAAGTCATACAAGGTTTTGTAATGAGGTCAAAGTTGATAAAGACTCCTTGTTCAGAAGGAAGTTTAAGAACATGCTGAGCTTTAATGTGACTTTTAAGTCCTGATGAAATATAAACAAGTGTTTTGRATGTAATCCTTACATGGAACTTTAYGGTTAACTAGAAGCACAAAGGGTGTTTTTTTGAAGATGACTAGCCCCATGGAATTTAAATATTTTGGTGTTACCCTCATACAAGAGGCAATGCAGGTTCAGTAGCAAAATGTACTTGTGCATATATGAGCAAAATCAGCTCAGCAAAATCTTCACATTCTTTCTATAGAGRCTGAATATAAGCACAGGCTATGATACACTACATTGGTGTTTCCATGTTCCTTTTTCATGGAATTAATGTAAAATTTCTGCCTTAGCCTTTAACGAGGTTCCTATAATGACCCAGGCCTATGACATCTGTATGGTCAGGGGTGAAACACATTCCTGTCACAAGCAGAATAGACCCTGCCCCTGGAGATGTTACATTATAATTTGAGGACATGAAGTCACAAACATTCATTATAACTCTCATAAAGGCTGAAGTATAATTCCTAGTTTTGCTTAGTAATGTACCTTATACATAGCTATTTGTTTTGTAGTATCTGTTTACACTATTACAAGGCATTCCCCATATATAACTTGACAGTTTTAAGGTTATTAAAACCTTTGAAAATTCTTGTTTTCTCAAGTTGCATATATTCCCTTTCCAGTTTTTGCAATTATATTTTCAATACATCACATTAACAAGCAGAAAAAGCTGTTGTTCTTTAGTCTACAAAATACTGTTCAATAGAAAATATACCCAAGAGGAGTACAACTACCATTTAGAAGAATTTGATTAAAAATGAAACACTCATTACAAAGCTAGACAGTGTTCAATATTTTGTTTTATGGAATTTGGTGGTATATTGTACCAAACAAATAATCTACAATTTATGGTACTTTCTGCTTAGAATCCTGCAATCAATAAAGGAAAAAAAAAAATCAATGTTTCTTTTAATAACTATGCAATGAATAATACTTGTAATAATACTGCAGAAGGGATCCATTCAGTATAACTTCTGAAAAACTGAATTAGTTTTCCTGTAGCAGAGAAAATATTATGAGCTGCATAAAGCACAGTAATGCATTTTTAGACATCAGAAGAAATGCAAGCTAATAATATACCTTTCAAGTTCCTAAGTTAATTATCATTAAAAAATCATTGAATAAAACACAGGTTTTGTATAAGCTATATTAGCTATATTTGTGAAAGATCCTATATTTTAAACAAAGAACTAGATCAAAATGGACACACTCCAAGAGAAATAAAGAACTCCATTTTATAAAACTTTATTTTTTCTACTGTTCAACTTTAACACTCTTATATTAACTAAAACTCTATACAACTCTTCTCCTTCACAGTTGTCTAAAGAATAACTACTAATTATTTGATAACAAACACAAAAATATATTCTTTTTTTAAAGTGGGGTTGTTTTTCAATGACAAGTCACACATAAGAACCTACCTCGATGATTTTTCAATGGGCATGATAAACATTTTGTGAAGACAGCTTTTAATCTACCACATTTTATACAGCACTATAGATAAAACAGCACATCTACATCAGCTTTAAATTAGCCAACACAAGGTGGCATATCAATGATATTAGCAAAGATAAAACTGCCAGGTACCAGCCTGTTGCAGATTCTGTACGTATACCATCATTGCTAGCATGAACCAAAATCCATATTGCCATATCTGAACCACCGTAGTTATGTGTGTTAACTAGATTAATCCCTGGGTACTTATCTATGCTATGATCCTATCTCTATTCTGCTATGTAATCTGAAGTTTAAAGGCAAGTCCTTAGTGACTACTCGAATGGGACTTCATCATGTGCATGAAGGTTGTGATGAAGAGAGCAGGAGGCTCTGGTCAGCAAGGCACTTAGGCATAAGTAGRTATATAGTAGATATTCAAGCAAAACCACTGGGTTCAATAAGCCTTTCAGGATGCCTAAATTTTATCACACACATACATACCTTGTAGACTCAGGGACTGCTTAGCTTAAACAGGGCTGACCTGCACTGGAGCCTTTCAGTACTGAAGTCATCAGAAGCTGAGGGTGTCCTCCCATGAGGCTGGGTGACCTTGTGTAACATCTTACAACCACTAGACAAATTCCCTGGTGTATCCCTCCATAAAACTACTGACCACTTACCTTCAATCAGTAAAACACATCAGAAAGAAGAGAAAATGGTTTTACACCATGTCAGAGAGTTAAAACCACTCACACAATTTAGGATCAAAAGGAAATTTGGCTTCTGAGGTTGTTGAAATAATGAGAAATGCTGCTAAAATCTTTTTCATTTTTAGACATTTTTGCGGCTTCTGATCAGCTCTTGAGCTATATTTTGACACATCACTAGAATTCTTCTGGACTTTAAAATGYAAGGAAAATACTATTCAATCCACCTAAAAACTCACAGGATATGCTTAAGGATTTTTTCCCCAATATCTGCTTCCTTGTTTATGCATTGAGAAAAAGAGAGAGAACAAATCTGAGTCACCTGCTTTCCAATCAGCCACACATCAACATGCCAGATGGCCATGCGAGGCCTCTGAAAASAGGTTTGAGGATATAACTGTACAAATGCTAGTTATTTTTAACTGTCATTTYAGCTAAGTCAAACTGCTGGGCACCTTGGTCTGTTGGTTACAGATAGACCTTAATCTATAAAATATGCTAAAATATGTATTTCCAGTATAAAATATTTTACATGTTGAACTATATGCAATAAAAATGGATTTATTAGTAAACCTTTTTTAAAATATTATCAACCTGGACCAACATCTAGCAGTTCTAACGTGTTTGCACAGTATCATACTAAAGGGATACAAGCTTTTTTAGGGTAATAGTACCACTACAATAAGATTCAGTAAGAATAACCACACCTCCACCACTAAGATTTGCTATTTAAAAACAACAACAACAAYAAATATAAGCCATCTGCATAGCCAGGCAAGTTCTATCCATATGACAGCTGAATGGAGATTGTTGGAGATTTTCAAATGTGCTTTTCTTTACTTAAATCTCTGCAAATATAATCAGACTAAAATAGCTTTCCTAAGAAACTATAACTTGCTCGCATACTACAGTTGTATCCATTACAAACACATTATATAAATCACAGTCAAATTGCTACAGTCCACTGTTACCTAAMCTATCAAAGGCAGTCTCTTAAAGCCTACCTATAAAGTTGATTATTCTACAGAGCCATATGCTGTCAAACCACAAGTTAAATATATTATTATTATTCTCATTCCTTTTACCTGCCTTAGAATTTTACATCCTCATCACATGCACAGTTCTACTATTCAAGGAAACAGTTATGATTCAGTAGACAAAGCACAGGATTAGTTAATAAGAGCACAAATTTCATTAGGTTTTAATGGGATTTGAGCGTTCTTGAAAATTCAGCCCAAGAGACTAAGCATCATTGCTACCTCTGCCAACTCTTGTATGGGCAAATGCTATGAAATTATTATAACTGAGGAAACATAAAATGAATAGACTGCATATAGATTATATTTTATGAAGAAACTGCTCTACTTCCACCACTGAATCATAAAATCACAAAAATCAGTTAGCAGGGATTTCAAAAAGTTCTTTGTCTTTTGGCCTACAGGACTCTGAGTGATTCCAAGCATTTATGGAATAGTTTCTAAAATTTTTGTCCTCACAAAAACACAACCCTCTGTCATGATCCTTCTACATGTGCTCTTACCTGGCTTCTCCTAGAATGGTTCCCATTACCCGATGTTTCTCTTCACATCTGACATCTTCATTTATATCTGTCCCACCAAAAATGATTCCAAAAGGAATTTTACAACCTGCAAAACAATGACTAAGATGAGAAGAGGAGCAACCTGCCTGGGTAATGATGAGAAGAAGGCATTAAGTGTTGATGTCATGTTCCATGTTATGGAAGTTTGAAAGTGAATACAGAATAATCTAAATGTTCCTGTTTTGGGGACTGGAAAAAAAAATGGAATAGATACGTTTTCATGACATATCAGTCTATTGTCTAGCTAGGAGATTTTCTTTGTCTTTGTTCACATTTTGTGAAAACATAAGCATTCTAAGACCATCCTGCAAAACAGCCTAATGAAATGATTTTGGTTTTTAAGAAGTATTGTTCATTTTTGGCAAGGTTCCTCCTCAATTTCTGAAGCCAATTTTAACCGCTATAAAAAACACAGGTGAAGACACAATATCATAAAGCTTCACTAACATTAAATAAGGTTATAAACGTGAACCCACACTAAAACCATTGATTTGCCTTCTTTCTTCCCCCTCAAAAATGATCTGTGTTTTCAAATTGTTACTCCAAGACCACCTTCTGTAATCACTCTATTTAGAGAGACTCCTTCAAGCTGCCTGCCGTGTTGTGGTACCGTAAAGAAAAAGGTGTTATTTCTGGGAGAATAACAAGATTTATTTGTACCTGTGTACCAGATCTTGTCACAACATTCAAGTTTGAAAATATCAACAGGAAGATAGCTACCCTACTGGTATCTGTRGAACAGTAAAAACCTACTGTTGATGCATCATAATAAATTCATTTTGCAAAGGAGTAAAGCTGTCAAAAGAGTGCTGGATATCATCCCTACTCTAACAGCAATGAGCCTGGTGTGGACAAGACCTGTGGACAACTGAGATGAAAATACAAAAGGAAAAAGGACTTTAGGATTCCTTTCTAGTAGTATCTGTTTCCTTGGAGTCAAGTTTTTTTAGCAACTGGCGAATTACCAGAAATGCTGTCCCCTTAAACTAATCAAGGGAGCAGACAATAGTGTTTACTGTGGATTGTTTGGGCATTGGAAACAATTAAGYGGTCAGTTTTACACCTCATTAAGCTAATAAATAACAACTGCATGGTGGTTAATTCCTAMATATGGAACACGGTGTTAAACTCCTGACTACCAGGATTCTACCAGGTTTTGTAAAAGAGTTTCCAGCAACATCACATAAAGAAAAAGGGAAAAGAAATAAAAAAAGAAAGAAAAAAGGGGGAGGTTAGCAGAGATCATCTCATGGGATTATGTTCATATTCCAGGATCTCTATGGATGTCAGAACTGCATTGTAATAAAAGGTACACAAGTATATAAGCAATAATATCCCAGATATTCTGAAAACCTACTAGCACAAATTGCTGGGGGACTTCTGAAGTCTGAGAAAGAGCATAACCCAACTTATCCAAAGATTTGATGGAAGTATCAAATTATATTCCTTTGTCCAAGTGCATGGATTTGGATAATAGAAATGTGATCTCAAAAACACATACATCCCTGCAATTTCAGTGGGTGACAGTGTCTATAATTTCGGAAGCTAGTGCTTCAAGTGTGTCACTAATGGAAGGCTAAAATTTTGCTTTACATGGCCAGTTACAATAGAAAATTTGATTATTTGTCTGATAACAACCTGTCTCCTACAGTTTAGCCAGCATGAATGACAATTCTAAGTTATTTCATGTCCAAAAAAAAAACCCCGGTTTCATCTTTGAACAGAAGAATTTAATTAGACTCTCTGCTGTCTTCTATTTGACCTCAGCCAAACCAACCTTCTATCTGACCTCAGCCAAATAATTGTCCTCTTTAAAAAAAAAAAAGAAAAAAAAGCTGAATGTATCTTAATGTTAATACAATGCTCTTATCTTAATGAAGTTGAAGTACTTCAATTATCAAATGCATTATGTGCTTTAAAAGCATTTTAGAGCATTTAGCTCTGTTTCTCTGGATCAGATCTCCCACCGAGTTGTTCAAGTGGACAAACAAGATAACTAGATTAATGGGTTTATGCATTTATTGTCATTAATAACTGTTTGCAGTCATTCTCCTCTCTCTCAGTTCCGTTTTTAAGAGGTATTTTTATTGCAGTATTGAAAAAGGGTTACCTTGCAGAAGTCTGCCTGCTTTATAAAGATGAATGGCCAGGGCTGCATCAACCTTCTCTGTAGAGATCAGATTTGCTATTTCAGTTGCACTTTCACAGTCAAAAGCATCTTTAAGAATACAGGTGTGACCTGCAGCATGTAGATGATTCCTACATTGCCAGAAGAGATAGAACAAAAGAAAAAAAGAAAAGGTAATATTAATATTGCTTCCAAGTGTATTAAATAAGTTTAAATAAAATGCTTTTCCTCAGTAACTCTTGCTCCTACCTTTCTTTATTCTCTTCAGGATTCTCTAGCACTATTGAAAGGTTTCCTGTGAAATACATATATATTTTTTCACCTTCAACATTGTGCATGCTGTCAAGYCATATTATCTGCAGCCATTAGGAGGCCAGGATGCAAGGATGCAAAATGTCAATATTGCCTTTGGAAATCCGTGGCAGTAACATGGTTTGGCATCCAGCTTCTAATCGGTATACTGAGAGGACTCCTTTCTGAACTGAGAAAGTCAGACCTTGGGTAAGGAATCATGTAACCCTTAGTCTGGAGAAAGGCCAACAARTGAAGGAAAATATAAAATAATGCCATTAAAAATACAAAATATTAAAAACAACCTGCCTTGAAATAAATAAATACATTAAAATAACAGAGAGTTGAAATCTTATGTCATGTTTGATTGCAAGCTTTGGTTTGCTCATCTACAAAACAGGCACAATGTAATAAAAAAAATACACACAAGAAACACTACACAACTAATTCTACTGCCTTTTTATCCTCTTTAATCTCAATTGCTAAAAAAAAACCACAATTACTTTAGCTTATTTATTACACATTTATTAAACATTTAGCTTAGCTATTCGTTGTTTCAGAGGGTAGTTCCTCATATTAAACCATTGATTCAAAGACGGCTGCAGTCAAGGAACTGATTGATCACCGTGAGCTTTGCTTTTGGCATTTCATTATAGTCATTCCTTTAATACACTAGACTTGTAATTTCTCCCACTGAAACCAGAAGCAGCTATCAATATTTCCAATGATATCAACCAAAGAAACATATCAGAGCAAATCCATGGGATGACAAAAACTAACACACTGGATCTGCTGACATGCAGATAAACTTGCTTCAAATGTGAAGTGTTTATGTTTTCGATATCATAAAAAGACAACAAGAGCATTTCCTGTTTATTATATATTTTTTCCAGTTGATTTATTTTTCACAGCATATTAATTGCATGGCATTAAAATTCTGCTAACTCAATAGCTTCTTGGATATTGTAGGCTGTTTCCTCTCTTGATCATTTCATATCCTTCCAAAAATGTAATTTTCTGTCCTGCAGAGGTTAGTCATCATTGCTGAAATTGCTGCTAAAAATGCTGTAAAATGTCTTGAGGCCTTGGAAAGAATGTATTAGCACTGCATCACACAGAGCTTCATTTGTTCCACATATGGTACTGTATTTCTTCCTAAAAGAGAACTAATTTTACTTCTGATTTCACCATTTGAAACAAGACCAGCATATTTATAACAAGTATTAATCAGTAATAAAGTARTCAGATTGTGAGCTCCTTATTTACACTGTTGAGCAATTATTTACATTGGTTGTCCCAAGAACTCGTACCAAGTACCTGCTTGTAAAACGTTCTCAATTTATCTCTAAATAATGATGCCCAAATCCCATGGCTGTGGAAGCAAAATCTCTTGGGCAAATATTCAGGATGCACATGCATGCATTCTGTAAGTTCACAGGTGTTCATTAAATAGCGTAGAAGGTTTTTCCCCCCAACAGTTTTCCAATTAGCATAAATCACTCTCATGTGCAAGCAATATGCTAGCATATTACAATTAATTTGCAAATAACACTCTAAGGGCATCAGAAATCAAGAAACTCAGCTAAAAGTTTTCATGTAAAGCTTTTTCTCTATATACTAAAAAGGAGTATGTATCTGTGCCTCCACAATTTTCCCAACTCCAAATCTCACAGCCACAGGACAGCTCAGGAGGTTCCCCTGGTGAGGTAAAACCCTGAATTCTGAATCCTCACCATTATATCCCATTTTCTCTACAAAAGACAACTCAGTACTCTGTAAAAAAAAAAATAAATAAATAAAATGCACACCATTTAAGAAAGAATTTTATCATTATTTTGAATTCTTAGTTGTGAAGAGGTCTTATTCCCACATGTGTAGACTTGACATTACTTAGTGTTTAAGTATTGAAATTTACAGAGATTTTTATATTTTCTAAATGGTTTTTCATCTTTTTAAYTGAAGAAATGCAGAGCAGGCTGCATATTCAGCCACACACATATGCTCCCATCAAGGAACACGATAACAGGGTTGCAGGAGATCTTGTTTTGAAGGCTCATGTGTTGGTGAAGTCACAGACGTCCCTGAATCAAGCCAAGACGTAAGAGATACTTTACCAATATCTTATCTCCTCCTGGGAACTGTACATTCATATTATTTTGCCATTTCAATAACAAATACTTCCCGAAAGAAAAAAAAGAAATAACAACCATGTCCCTGTTTTCTGTAATTCTGAGATAGCACTGAAAATGCTAAATTTCAAGGCTAGCTTTTCTCTGTATAGCAGCTTTGTAATGTGGTAGGTAAATTCCTATTTAATAAGCATCTTAATTACCAGTGTTTATTGCTTGGATCCCAATTTTGTCTTCAAATTTGTCACATTTTCTACTGGATATTTTGATAGAGTTACATAAAGAGAGAATATTGATAAGTTCCTGGTAAGTAGATCAAGAGACACTTTCTGGATAGCATAAAATAGGCTTCATCTAAAAATATTAATTATCTCTTTCCCCAAGCCATCTGTTCCATAAAGCAGCTATGCATAAACTCTTGTTAAATCTATACAGCGCAATCCAAAGCCTATTAAGTTAGCAGAATAATTTCCACTCACTTTTTAGAGACTTAAGCACAGCAGAATACTCACAATTCCCACAGAAGCTGATGGAATTGCAGGAGTCGAAATCACAGTTTTTGAATGACTTAACTTTGAAACCCAACTCAATCTTCCTTTCTCATTACAACTTGTCTTAATTTTTCACAGTTGTTAAAGCAAAGTGTTTTTCTTTCATTTCCTTTCACCTCAAATTTCTCTTTTAAAGAATATAGACAATTCATTTGATGCCAGAAAGAAGTATGGCAAAATTTGCTGTGAATAAGAACAGGAATGCCAAAATGTGGACATGAATGACATTCCTTCTGCTTCTACTTTCCCAAGTCAGCAAAAGGCTTTTTGGAAACAGAAAGTAACTGCAAAATGTGATTGTGCCTTATAAATGGGGTCCAGATGTGCAAAACATTTGAGATGGAGGATACATTCAGTGCAAGCAATGACTGAACACTGGTTCCAGAGGTGCAGGACAAGTGCCTACTTCTGCAGCTGTTCTGTTCTAGGAATTAACACACAAAAACCAGCAAGAAATAAGGGGCACCTCTTTAAATTGAAGTAAGGAGGTACAAGACATTATTAAATACCAYAAATAGAAGAGGACCTGAAGAACCTTCTGATGTGCAAGTGGTGCTAGGTAGGGAGGTGCTAAAAACAAGAGTTAGAGCTCAAAATTACTCCAGTAAACATCTAAACTGAAAAAAAAAAAAATAATTGCAAAAGGGAATGATAAGCTACAATTTACTGAATTTGGGGATTCAATTCTTTTGCAGCTGATTACCTGGGGATTTAGAGAATTGCTTCTTAAAACATCTCATTTCAAACTGGAACTGAAACAATCTCTCCCTCTCCAAAAGATATTTACATAGTGACAAAATACTCCATCTAAATCCTTCTAACTAATTCAACATCTCTATTCCCTCTTACTACTAAGTAATAAAAAATGAAGTATCTGTGTGAGAAWGCTTTAGTGATCGTTGTCATGGGCTTGCCTCTTAGTCAAGCAGATGGATTTGATTGCTAGCAAATATTCKCTACCCTGACCAGACTTCTTTTTCTCTCTAAATGAGCTCCTTTATATTACAACCATAAATACTATTTACACTCATAAGATAGCAAACACAAAAAGTTACTCATTCTCAAACGTTGCTTTTGTTAGAATCCTTTCTCCCTCTTTATTGCAAGCATTAATTAAACTGACGTTTGATTCATTCCCCTCTTTTAGTTCGAAGGTTTACAGAAAGTAGCACCCATTTTACTTAAAATATTTGCCTGTGGAGAAATAGGATGCTCAAGCACAGCACGAGTCACTGCAGTAGCTACAAATGACTGTGTTAACGTGGAAATAGGTTAAACCACCCGTCAGCTGAGCTGTTGCGTCCCACACAGCCTGTGACCTCTTTGGTGCTAAAACACATTGGCATGGGGTGGAGTAACCACAGCTGTGGGGACTTGGGTAAAGGGATCTCAATGACCACCGTGTCTCCATCAGGTACGTTCATGTGATCCTACTCCATCTCCACTGGGTTAAAGTCAATTGGAAATACAGGTCAAAGGACATGGTTGTGTGCCTGGTTTATTCGGGCTTTGCTGRACTGTGAGAGCACTAGATTCACATGCCACAAAGGCAGCTTTCCCTCAGATTCTCTCTCAACGGCTCCACAGTCCAAACTTCTGCTTTTTTTTTTTTCCCTCAAAGTTGAGGATATAATCAAAGTGAACACCTAATGTTCTTAAAAGGTAGGAGAAATGCAGAGGAAGGTGGAACGTGGATATGCCCCCAAAATAAGTAGCTGTGTTTTATCCCCGACAACAAAAGAGAAAAGATCAAAGGAAATGAACACCACACAAACCACCACAGGTCAAATAAGAAGCGCATATTGCAAATGCAAACACATTTGTGGCACCCAAACCCTTTACTACTGATTTTTTTAATAAAATAGAGAAAACTTCAACTTCCGCCGGTCCTTTCTTTGCATATGGGAAATGAGAGGATTTTCCACCACTATCTTTTACAACCAAATAGCTCCACACAAGCCCGGAACTGAACACGGTATGACCTGAATGGCAGGAGACCTTAAACAGCGCACGCAGGTTATGGAGTTTAACAGCGAAGGGCAGCAGCGCCCGGCGCAGCCCAGGGAGGACGTAGAATGACAGAGCTGAAATGCACCCGAGTGGGAAGGACGCACAGTCCCGAGGACCCCTTGATGTGTCGCACCCCAAGATCCACACCCCAAGAGCCAAATCCATGGAGAAACCGTAGCACTTTTATCAAAAAAAAAAAAAAAATAAAATAAACCCTCATGCACGCAGCAAGGCGCCCAAGAACGCTTCAGTCCTTCCACACCCGGTGAATGAATGAAGCAAAAAATGAAGCAAAGGGGGAGGCAGAAAAACGGTGAACATCCATGCGGCGCTGACAGCGGGAACACATCCACCCGCAACCAGAGAGCGTGAGGAGGACTACAGCCGCGGGGCTACAGCCGGGGGGGCTACAGCTGCGGGGCTACAGGCGCAGGGGCCGGCAGGACCGCGGCGGCCGGACGGCTCCCGCTCGGCGCCGCTGCCTGTGGCGGGCCCGGCGCGCGGCGGCCCCACACAGGCCGCTCAGCTCCGCTCGGCTCGGCCGGCTGCGTGCGCCGCGCCACGGCCCCCAATGGCGCGCGGGGAGGGAAGGGGAGGGACTCACCGTATCCTGGCGGCCGTGGTGGCGTTGCCGGTGCGCGCCCGCAGGCAGGCGAGCAGCAGCAGCCTCATGGCCGCCTGCYGCCCTCACCTGCGCGGCCGCTCCCAGGCACGCGCCGCTGGCCGGCCCCGGCGCGGGCTGCGCTGCCCGCTCAGCCTCCTGCCYGGCGTGCGATTAAACGGTCACATCAGTTTGCTCCGTGCGAGAAAAATGGGGGAATCTGTCCTTGTTCCAAACAGCCCCCGGGAAGCAGCCGAGGGAGGGTGATGTGGGCAGCGGTGTGGGAGGCAGCAGCTCGGACACATGTCCTCCCCACCCCAGATTTGGGAGAACATTCTGCGCAATTCATTTTCCGTGGCTAATCACAGGTTAGGTGCCAGCCCCTAGAAGCGCCAAGGGAATGGGCTGGGGCAAAGGACAAGGCAAAGGGCAGAGACTAGAGAGCAAAGGTCTGAGACCAGGCAGGAGGATGGGGAGGCTCAAAGAGACAGCACTGACGGTACAAGCGGCTGCGTCAGGAACACAGCAGGCAGAATCACAACCGCAGAACGTGGGAAAAGAGCAGAGAAAGAGCCAAACGTGGGACAAARACTACAAGATCCCAGGATAAAGGGCGACTATAAGGAGAACTACAGTGAGTAACGAACAACAGCTGGGTGGGGGGCAGGCAGCAGCCCTGGGAGGCCCATCACAGTCTCCCTGGGGAGTGATAGGGTCCAGGTGGCAGCATGCAGATAGCTGGGGCCTTGACCTGGATTCAGCACTTTGCAAAAACATTGAGAGTGTGCGGGGCACTGGTGACAGTGAGACAGGCCTGAAAGGCATGTCCAAAAGCTCACCTTTCTGCTAGGATACTTTTCASCTGGCCTGGTGTAATCCTGGGGCACTTACGTTGCTCTGGGGCTGTGGAAGATGGTCTGCAAACTGCAGTGCCAGTTCAGATTGCCTTCAATCACTCTTCAACTTAGAAGCTGACAGCAATAAATTTTGCAAAAAAGCTGAAAATAGTGTAATGACAAAGCGTAGGCAGGATCAAGATATTTTCATCATCATTTTAGAAGGTGTTTCTGAGACTTGGCCCAAAATCCCAAATCCACTGAAATTCAGGAGGTTTCTGTCAATACAGCCAGAGTTTCAGCTCTAAAGTTTGTTTGGCTTTAGGCAGCCTATGCCAGGTAAAACTGGACTTTTGAGAGACCTGTTCATCTTCAAACCTAGCAAGAGCTCTATCTGTTCAAAAAGGAAGGGACAGAGCTCTATCTGTTCAAAAAGGAAGGGACAGAGCTGCCACAATTGTCAACCTAACAGACACGCAATGTTTCACACTTACATGGAGCTTGTAAAGTGGTTGGTCTTCTAGTCAAGTCAGGGGCATTTTCCAGTTGCACAGCCTAAAGCAGGATGTGCAGCCATTGCCTGAAAGTCAGGTTTCCAGCTAAAATGAAGCTGTGGTGTTGACTGTCTGCGTGAGGTTATCTAATCCAAAATTGCTAGGCTAATTTTTACCACTGCTGGCTCTGCAAACAATAGCTATACAAGAGAATTAATGTTATACAAAAAAAAAAAAAAATAAAAAACACATATATTTACAAGCAACAGAAAAAAAGAAAACATCAAGGTAGACATGGCCTACTCCATTAGACTTGAAACAAAGGAGGAAGCTGAACTTGTGATCTGGGAAGTAAAGAGGAAAAAAAGAAACATTCAAAGAGCCCATAACATTTTGTTACAATTTATTATAATGGTAATGTTGTTTTTGATGGTATATGTTGAGAGCTTGACTGACAGAGTTAGCAATCTAAGAGTCTTTGCAACATTAAGTATTGCTGTATATTTGAAGACACACAGAATACATCAATACATCACGATATAGACATAGGTGCAATCCTTTTGATTAAATAAATGTTCATGACTCTCTTTGTGGATTCCTAACTAGAAAAAAAAAGGGATGGGGAAGAAAACAATTCTTAATCTCTTTTACATATTTTATGTAAATAGCCCTTCTAAAACACTCATATTTTAAAGCCTGTGTGCTTTGATCAACTGTCACTCAGGTTCTTCTTAAAAATGTTATTTTTYCATGGGRAAAGAAAACAAAAAAACAAACAAATATTATTCTTATGTAATACCAGATGATATTAGGGTGCCATGTTCATTGTGGATGTATCTCAATACAGGGTTTTAAAACGCACTAAGTGTTCATTTGGAGAAAAATGAAAATAAAAAATCCTGAAGCCAGCAACATAAAAGTTTCAGGTGACTCTAGCAGCTTCTGAATTTCAGTTAAGACTACTTATATCTCAGTATCTGAAGAAGCAAAGAATATTCTCATGGTGTGCATCTCAAATACTGTTCAGCATTGCTAGATTTTTAAATATTTCTTGGATAGGCCAATACAAAAATGTCACACCTGCTGAGATAAATTATGAATGGTCTAAATTGTGATATTTACACATATTAGAATAAATGAGGTTATATAGTTGTTGCTGGGGAATACTACTAGATAAAAATAAAGTAAAAAAGAGACATATCTTTACAACTAGTTGTATTTTTCTCATTGCCCTTTGCCATGAAATTTAACAAGTGGGCAGACACACATGACATGAGTCACTTTCATGGCATATGTTATTTACACAGGCCCATCATTAAATGAGTATATTCCCTTTTACAAGCATCTGCTGCTCAATTACCAAGCCTGCTATATCATGTCTTGTTTAAAAAAAAAAAAAAAAAAAAAAAAAAACCCACTAAGCCATACCTAGAGGCTGGGTGTAGCGACATGACAACAATCAGTGTACCTGTTTTATCAAAAAAAACACCAGGAGCATTTTCCCACTTTGTTCAGGCCAAGACTCTGAGGTCAGTGATGACCTGAGGCCTCAGCTGAGGACAGGCGTGTCCTTCCACAGCCTTTAACACAGCATGTATCACACTGGCAAACAGTGAGGGCCCTATTTTTGCAGGCACCAACGTATCTTCGCTCTTCACTGCAATTTCTTCTAATCAGAATTCAAGCTTTTAATTTTTCCATGTGTCCCAGTGACCACGGTGCAGGTCCCCTCAGATAAGCACACCTGCAGACCACAGATCTGCGCACTTCCAGGGGCTCCTCCCTGCCAGTATAAACAACACTGTGAAACACTCAACTGCACTTCCCTATTAGCTTTACTGCAACAAAGCTGTTTATTTTTCTATTTACTTTTGCTCTGCCAGATGGGAAATAAAGCAGGAAAAAAAAACTTATGACTGAATAGTCACTGTGGAGTGAATGAGAAAACRAAGGCTTTACCACAAAGGCCTGAGATAAGTGTAATTAATATGGACATACAGTCCCGCTAAAGCCAAAGGCCCCACGTTATTTCCAGGCCAAACCAGCGCAAGAGATCAGCGTTAAACCCACCGTCCCGGCGGCGGGCCCCTCCTGAGCCCGCCTGGGGCCCTGCGGGAACCGCCAAGGGCGAGAAGCGGGGAAGAAACGGCCACGTAACTGCCCGGTAAAGCTCCGGGCACCTCGGTCCGGTCCGCTCCGGTCCGGTCCGGTCCGGTCCGGTCCGGTCCGGTCCCGCACTAAGGCGAGTGGAGGCGACGCGCGAGGAGCCCTCACCTCAAAACAAGCCCCTCCCCCTGGTAACCGCCGCTTCCGGGCCGCCCCTTCCCGCCCAACCGCCGGTCCCACCCCCACCACGTGACCACGCCGCCGAGGCGCGCGGATTGACAGCCCCCTCAGCCAATAGCGGCGCGCCGCCGCGGCTCGCCCCGCCCCCGCCGCACCGGGCGGCGGCGGCGAAGTTTCCTCCCGAGCGACAGCGGCGGCTCCGGGGACGCCGCCATGGAGGAGGCCGAGCCGGGCGAGCGCAGCCCCTTGCTGGGCGGCAGCGGCCGGGCGGCAGCGAGCGCCTTCGAGGGGCGGCGGCTGGCGTGCGCCGCCGTGCTGCTGGCCGAGCTGCTCGAGCGCGTGGCCTTCTACGGCGTCACCTCCAACCTGGTGCTCTTCCTCAACGGGCCCCCGTACGGCTGGGAGGGCGCGCAGGCGAGCCAGGCCCTGCTGCTCTTCATGGGCGTCACGTACCTCGTGTCGCCCTTCGGCGGCTGGCTGGCCGACGCGCTGCTCGGCAAGTTCGGTGCCATCCTGCTCAGCATGGCGCTCTACCTGCTCGGCATGCTGGCCTTCCCCGTGGTGGCCGCGCCGCACACGCGGCAGGGCCTCTGCGGGGACATCCCGCTGTCGCCCGTGGAGAACTGCTCCTCGCCGGCGGGCAACGCCACGGCGCCCTGCTCGCCGCCCGGGGCCACCCGCTACTGCGCCGCCGCCACCTTCGTGGGACTGGTCCTCGTGGGGCTGGGCGTCGGGTCGGTCAAGGCCAACATCACCCCCTTCGGGGCCGACCAGGTCAAGTATCATGTGGTGGAGGCTGCTGTCCCGTGTGGAGGCAGTGCCGGGTGACGAGTGTCTGACACGCTCAGGGCTGGGTGGGCACGTGTGGTCCGGCCTGGTGCAGCCCCTGGTGCTCTCCTAGGTGCTCGTCCCCTCGGCTTTGGGTTAGGTCTGATCCCTCGCCGGTTTCCCGGTTCTCCTRCCTTAGGTGCCGTGCCTGGTTTGGCTGAGGCTGTTGTAGTCTTGAGGAGCAGGGCCAAGTGCTCCACAGCCATTTGTGCCTTGTTAAATATCCCCTGTTGTGGAGTTCGTAGCCAATCAGTTGGATCTAGGAGCAGGTCGGGTGAAATATCTGATTTATGCTTTAGTTTTGACAGGGACATTTTGGGCTGTGGTCAAAGGCCTTTACCATGCTGCTGTAAACAAAAGATAGATAACAAATGCTCTCTTAGCCTTRAGATATTCTCTGTACACAGTGTTGTACCATGAGTGATGCTCTTGTGCTGCCTGGTGCTGCCCTGGGTGACAGGAGCTCTCAGCGTGGTAGATGTGTCACCTGGGCTGTTCTCCAGAGGACATGTCCTGTCACACAGCCTTGTTCTGACCCACTCCAGTGAGATCATYCATTGGATCATTCCTGCAGAACTAAGCGGTTTTTACAGAAGACATTTGACAGGCAGCTCATAACTTAATATCACCTGGTGTATGCTCTTGCAGGTGTTTTATACAATCTTATGCTAAGTAAGACAGTGTGCTGGCTGTCCGTGTTGAAATGGAGTGTAATTTTGGCTTTACAAATTTTTTTTTTTTCAGATGCTTAGATACTGTGAAGCTTCCCTAGGCAAACAGTTCTTGGTGACAAAGCTGGGAAAATACCTCTAATCCAGTTACATGTCTATTTACTGGCCCATTGAGTTCTGGATAGTGCAGCTATCAGAAATGCCATGAAATTCTTTGTGAGAGGTATGATCTGCCACAAAGTCCTTGCCAAATGGACCTCTATTCTCTGCTGTGCAGCTTACATTTGTCATTCTTTGGCATTTTGCATATTATAAATTCCGGAGTTCTAGGTGAAATGCAGTATATAAATGTAAAACATTATTATAGCCTAAGATTGTATGTCCCAAGTGTATTGGTTCTGTTTAAGCCAGCATGAGCCCATCAAGCGAAATAGCTTTAATATAACTCTGTTTCTGGTAAGGTGTTTTTCAAACGGACTGCTTATCCCCAGAACATTTTATGAACACCAAATATAAGAGAGAAATAATGGCAGAGGAGAGTAAAAGAAGAACCACAGCCAATAGAAGTGTAGCTGTTGTAACTAGATATTTTTTTAAGGCTTTCCCCCCAGGATTTCATTGAAAGCAGTTTTTGGCTAGAGGTGTAGATAATTCACAGTGATTTATGTAGGGTGAGGCAGAAGAATTTTTCCTTTCTGGTTGTTAATAATCAGTAATGCTCTGCTGAGGACTGGATTTTTCTGTTTTTCTGGCTTATCTATTGTTAAATACATTRCAGCACTCCGTTTACCTTGCTGTGCACTTTTGGGCTCTCTTGGGTGGCTTCTCCCTGCGTAGGAATGCAGCGCACTGCTGGGCAGCTGGATATATATTGCTGAGAATAAAGTCTGTCTTCCAAAACTGCATTCTTGAGGGGCCAGCATTCAATACAGCCGTGTTCTGGTTGGGTCTGTGCTGATAAGCTGTGTGCCTTAAATACCAAACAAAGGGAAACACTATGAACTGTGGATCACGCACTTTAGCTGACGTGAACTGGCTTTCAGATGTTGTTAATTGCATGTCATTGCAAATCTCTCTAAAAAAATATCATTTACATTTTCAATTTTAGCTGTCAATTTATAATTTAGACAGGGAACTCATGTTTAAAGGATTTTTATATCTAGAAGGAAGGAATCGCTGTAAGTATGGAAAATGGGAAACTGACTTCCAATTTTTTTTCTAAAGTTTAAAGAATGTGTGTTTCATTACTGTTAAATAGATGCATTTAGAAATACTGTTACAAATGACTTAGTCCTGAATAAYCTTTACCAGTCAATTTAGCAAAAATTAGCTGTTGCAAACTGGTTATGAAGCTATTTAAGTAAAGCTAGTTTATAAGTAAGAGTTGTTTTTCTAAAAGCTGCAAATTGATCCAACATGCTGATCTAAATCTGAACCTCATGGTTCTCAGAATAGTGTTTATAAGCATGTGATACATATATATAACCTGGCACTTTCCAGTTCCCCTTTTAAGTGCAAGGCTTCACAGTCATTTCCTCTTSTCTGTGTAGCAGTTTGTGACTTTCCACGGTTAGGGCACAATATGACTCTCATTATTGTGAAAGCTGGTTTAGCTTCAACGTTGTAGCCAGAGACTGGACCCAGTAGTGGTAGATTACTGATCTAGTATGGGCTCTAACCAATGCTCTAATTATAGACAAATCTGTGGCACTTCATATATAGTTAAGATAGATGCTAGATTAGAGATGCTAGTTTTAACCATAGTGCTTGTCCTATCTAAAATGCCTTTGTAGTCATTCAAGCTATCAGTCTGTAGCTGCAAAACTCTTCTTACTATGAGAAAAGTGCTGGGTTTACAGTAGCATTACTGCCGTGTACTTTTACACACACTCCTGGTGTTGCTATAATCACATGGTTGTGATAAATTTTGGGGTGTTTTTGTTTTCATTTGTCGTTTGTGACTGTCAGTGAATTGCAGGAACAAATGAAAACTAGTCAGGTCTGACTTTTTAAAATCTTTGTTTTTACTTTCATGTGAATTAAAACAGGAGGTCAAATGTTTGGATCTATCACAATATGGGGGGGAAAAGAGAGAGAGAAGGAAGGTGATGACATAGCGGGAACTTTGAAATATTGGAGTTTAGGAAAAAGATCATTAGCAGATGATGTCAAAAATCAGCCAGCACAGTGCTATGCTAGGTATTCCTTAAGAATTACTCAGTTTTGTCCATGCAAAATTCGGATCCCTGAGAAACAATTTGTTTTACGCACAGTGGCATTGCTTCAGGATTAGTTTCCTGATCCACTGAGGTAAATGTGCATAGGGAAAAGTTTTTGCGTTAGTTTCCCTGTAGCTATGGCAAAGATCAATGGTTCTCCTTGGGATTTCTTCTCTGAGACTGTCTAATTGTAGAGAGCTAGGAAATTACTTTGTGACAAAGCAAAGCATCTAAACACCTATGTTACGGAGAWGCAATGATGTTTATATAGGTTCCCTTCTCTTTATATACAGATTTGGAGAACTTCTCTAATAGAATCTTAATATTTGAAATTTTGTTTGGTGTCAAGCTATTAAGACTGCCTAGGTCAGTATTTGGATCATCTTCTAGGAAAGACACTTCTGTTGAAAAATCTGGGGGAGCAATAATTCAGCAAATCATTTGTCTGAGTATTAATTTTGGGGATAGCTGTGCTTTGGAGTTGTATCTATCACATTTTTCTTCTGGTGTAGTGGAAGATCAAGTTATTCCTTATTTTTCTTTGTTTAACTGCCTTTAGACAATTACAGTTGTAAAGAAGACGTTAACCTTGTATCCCAAATTGGTTTRGACTATTGCAGTGCAGAGCTTTATAGCTGATGCATCCTCTGCTGAAAGTAGGTGTAAATGTCCTAATGGTTACACAATTTCCATAATGTAGCATTCCCAGCATTCAGGATCCCTTAGCATGAAAACTGGATGGTAATTGCATCTCATCAGACCATAATCAGTCTGGTGTAAGGGCTATGTATGCGAAACGTGAGTTTTGAGACTGCTTCCTTTAATATATGAAGATCTATTGCTCTGTGGATACCCATACCCATAATACTAAGTATTTTTTTTCTTTTGCTTTTGGAGTAACTGTAGTCTTTGTACATACAAGATAGTTACTTAAAAAAAAAAAAAGAGAACCCTCTGTACTGCAGCAAAAATAGGGTCTCGGTTAGACTAAAAAATAAAAAGAAGAAATAAAAACTAAGTCATGCCTGCTGTCTTGAAAATACCAAAGTTGTTTCTATTTCCTCATTAGAAGGCTGTCCTAGCACCTGCATGCTCTCAGCAATAACATCTAGATCATGCTGCTGTGACCRGAACACTACGGGTTCCACATTTTCTTTTGTTTTTACTCAAATTTGCCATATTATTTAAAAGAGGAAAATCAAGAGTAATTGTGATTGCGCCTGYTCAGGACAATAGGTCATTCTGTATGTTTGCTAAAGTCAAAACACTACTGGACTGTTCCTTACTATACCCCTGAGTCCCATTTAGTGGTAGAAATGTGTGAAAAGCTTGAAGGAATCACAGTGGTGGGGTGGGCATTCAGGGCTGGATATTATGCCCTGACAGTCAAATATCCTGCTAATCTCCTGCTGCCGTTTAGGTTGATACGCTACTGAAAATGTGCATGATGCCTATTGAGATTAGGAAGGAGTACAAAATTTGAGCTTGGAAGGGAGAATCCCCTGGTTTTAGGCTTTGAGTTTGTAATTGATATGCTAACAGACTTGAACGCCTGGCAATGCTGCTAACTATGCATTTGAATAGATGCTCTAATATTTCTTTTAACCCTGGCTCTTTTGAAGGTCTAGGAATGAGGAAGGGAAACTTTAACTAGAAATCAAAAAACAGCTGACTCAGCAAGACTTGCATGCTACTGATTCACTGGTCAGTGTTAATGGACTTYCAGTCATAAAACGGTGACAAATAGTGTGTTACGGATTCTTCTGCAGAAGATCTTCTTTATGTATTTCAAATTTTAACTTGCATAATTTCTCTTACATCATATGTTGTGAGTTATACCTTATGAGTTTTACTGAGTTTCTGTGACTTAATTACAAACCTTAGGGTGACTTATAGTATGCAACACGGAATGTGAAGCCAGTGCAGGAGAAATTCCATAAACCAGTGATGTCTTTGGTTTGCTTGGAGAGACAGTGAGGTAGAGTTCAAGAAGGACAAAAAGCATTATAAGCCGTGCAGGTTTGATAGAGGGCAGATGTTTACTGGGGGCTTGTGATATTTCAGGCAACCCGAATTTAATTTCTATTTTATTATGAAGGTCAGCAGGGCAAACCTTCAAYTTATGTTCTGATGAGAGCAACTGGAACTGTGTTAAAACTTAATTTTGGAATGTGTGCTTTAATGTCAAATAGTCATATAGTCATTTGAGACTTAGAAAAAATGTTACATACATTTAGTTGGAAGAATTTTTTTTTGGAATACTAGTAATGCTTTTTTTTTCTTTTTGATAATTCAACTTTTCTATTTCAAGAAACAGTTATTTCAATTTTTGTATGTATCTGTGGGATGATGTGAATCAAACKAGTGCAGCAGAAATAATAACTGCTTCTCTGTAGCAACTGAAAGTTTAAACTGAAGTTTAATCTTGAATAACTTTTCAGATGCTGAACTTCAAGAAGGTCATTGATGTAATGGGGAAGCTCAGTACAGTGTCATTTCATCAAATACCGTGCTAAGCCCAAAATACTTGAATCATTTTAGTATGACCGTAAATTAAACCCAGGCTCTTCTGTGCATTGCAGTTGATTGAATTCTAATAAACATTTTGTTCAGAAATTGAATGACTTCTTTTAATCTTTTTCAGGTCAAAGATCGAGGTCCAGAAGCCACAAGAAGATTTTTTAATTGGTTTTATTGGAGCATTAACTTGGGAGCTATTCTGTCTCTGGGAGGCATTGCATACATTCAACAGAACGTGAGCTTTGTTATTGGATATAGCATCCCAACGATTTGCATTGGGATTTCGTTCATGGTGTTCTTATGTGGTCAGAGTTTCTTCATCACAAAACCACCTGACGGTAGTGCCTTCACAGACATGTTTAAAATTCTTGCATATTCTTGTTGCTCAAGAAAGAGACATGTGGAGCGATCAACTAATAGGTTTGTAAAGTGCTCTTTTGTACAGTCTGAATTCCAGCCTAAGAATTGAAACTAGTTTGTCCAAACTAGCTGCAGTAAGTTGCTCTAGAGAATACAGTAGAATAAGCAATTTTGATTTGAGAACTGGAACTTTGCAATGGGAGACACATTCTGGGAGTCTGGGGATGAAAAAGAAAAATATTCAGAGACTGCAGGATCTCTATGCTGCAAAATCAAATGTGCTGTTTTCACTAGAATGCTGTGTATGTCCTGGTAGCCCAGAATCGCTGGAAATAGAACATTACCTAAACATGCTGTTTTTCATCATTAGTCATCCTTCTTTTTGGCTTAAGTCTTTTTTAAAAACCTCCTGAATTTAAAAAAAACACTATTATCTGTCTTAAATGCTTARAAAACCCTGATGGGCTGCTAAAGTGTGTACTGGCTTTTTCCCTCCCARCTGGCTCCCCTACTCTTAGAGATGCCCATGAAATATTGGTGGCTGTGGATGATAGGAGGTGTCAAGTGCCTCCCTTCCTTGGAGATTTTGTGTGTTSAGACTGCAGAACAATTTGATCACTTAAGATACCTTTTGTTAGTTACAACAGTATCACAGTTTATCACAATCTTTTGTGATACTCTTTGGAAATTTTGCATATGACAGTGCCTAATTTTCCATATGTGCAGTAGGGGRGGATTAGAATTAAGGAAACCTTTATAATGAAACATTTCACTTTACATTTTTACCCATGGTTGATCCATTCTGGCTTAGTTATTTGTAAGTAATTCTTTCTTTAGAAATGCATGAGCTTGTCATGATAAAAAAAGTGTTACAAGGGAGCCAGTTAAGTGAGTTTTTGTTGCTATTTAACTAAATGTTTCAAATTCTTTTTCAAAAGTGAAGGCCAAGGAGTTCTTCAACAGCCCCGCAAGCAAAGCTTATTTGAGATGGCCAAGTTGTCTCGTGGAGGCCCATTCAGAGAAGATAAAGTAGAGGATGTGAAAGCTCTTGTCAAGATTATACCTGTCTTTTTAGCTTTGATACCTTACTGGACAGTGTATTTCCAAGTGAGTATTTTTGAATGTCTAACTTTTTCTTTTATGTGTCTCAAAATAGAATTTCAAACATAGGGGCCATAACTTCATGTTCTCCCCACTGCATTTGGAAGGTCTAGGGCACTCCCATTAAGCTGCAGTTCTGAGCCTAGCTTGTRAAACTCAGTCTTCCCTGAAAATTATCCTGCAGAGCAGTAACCTGGAGGAAACACTTGAAAGCTTTCTGGAGGGAAGTGTTCTGTAAAGTTACAGTTAGCATTCAGCAGCTGTGATTGTAGAGAAGATGGATATTGAACAAGATTTTTCAGAGCTGCATTACTGACATTTTCACTTCTTAAATAACTGTGTGGTCAATAAAGTCAACGTTATTCCTTTCACATACCTGAGGCTGCATCTCAACGATCACTTTAATAATATTGTGTTGGGAAAAACAGTACTGAGTGATGACAACTTCATTCATTTCTTAGATGCAGTAGTTGGGGAAAGCTGTAGCTTTAGTAGTAGCAGTAGTTCAGCAGTATGTGTAAGGTATCTAATTTCACATTTTTCTGTATCTCTTTCATAAAAATGAAGCTTACCCTGAAGCTGGGAGATGAAAAATGGTTACTAAGAATACTTACCAGAAAAATCAATATTTTGACTTGATGATTAAATTAATGAAGGAAAATAACTAAAAATAAATTAAATTAGCTCTTAGTTAAAACTAATGGTTGCGCAAATTAAGATATCTTAAATATTATGCTCTGTTTAATCTTCAGATAGGTCAGTGCAAGTGGCCTAGATTTCATCTTAATTAATTCTTTTCTGGTTCCTTTATCTTAGGATAGCAATTATTTTAGGGGAAAAAAGAATCCAGAAATTATGCTTAAAGTCACATGAATGATTCCTTTTTCTTTTAATAATGATAAACATAGAATTAGAAAAAGCCTATAATGTTCTAGCAATTATTCTTTTGTTTTGAAGTATTAGTACTTCACCTCTGGTATAATRTTTGCTAATGACTGACTGGTCTGAGTAATGTAAACTCATCTTTCTTAATGTTAGATGCAGACAACTTATGTATTGCAAAGTCTTCATCTGAAAATTCCTGAAATATCAAATGACACCAATTCTACTCATACAGTAAGTAGRGCAAAACACTTAAAAATGTGGGGGTTGTTTGTTTTGTTAGTTGGAATAAAAAGCAGCTAAGTGTTTTACATAAATTTGGAGAGCCAGGATAGTAGRTAAGGGGAATCAAGGGCTACAGACACAAATAACTGGGTGTTTGGAAGCATAAGGCATAAAACAGATTTTAGTATTTTTTACTGGTATGCAGACATTACACCACTCTGTTTTCAGTGTATTCAGATAACATTTGCTGCCTTAATTAAGGGTGTCTTTCTTCTTCAATGCACAAAATAGGATCTTTGAAGGAAGCTTTTAAATTTTTTGTGTCCTAAGTTTGCAAAGGTGTATTTACATGAGCAGTCCTACAAATTCAGTAGGAAAATCCATTCCTAATGGAAATACTATCTCCAAAATTGCAGTTACCCATTCTTAAGTGGAATCATTAGTATTTCCAAAACTGCAATCTGAATTATATTTTTAACTTTATACTAATTAATCAATAATCACATTACCTTGAATGAGTTTTGCATGTCGAAGGAAGTTGCTCAGTCAGTGTCTTTCAAATAAGGCCGGCATCATGTAGTTGTAAAATTGGTTCTGATAAGTAGAAACAAAAAAATTATGAGTATATATTACTAACAGACTTACTAAATATGCTTTTAAAATTAAATTTCTTCTCTTTTATTTGAAATTAATGATATCAATAAGGTAGAATTGCTCCTTTTTACAGATGGAAAAAACAAAAAATGCTTGTACTTAATTTTTTGAGCTACCCAAAGAGCTGTTTCTGAATCGCAGCTAAGAGTTTAATGGATATTAGAAATACTACCTAAATAAGCCTGCTAAAATGGCACGTTATCAAACTCTAAATCTAGTTACTTATTATTTTACAGTTAGTAAACTAAAGCAAATGCAGTCTGAGATTCCTTCATTAAAGTGTGTGCTATCAGCACTAGTAACTAACGCAAATTTTCTCAACTTTACTCAGTCTGTGCACTTAATTTGCATAGCCTTTTGCCACTGAAAACTATTGCCAATTCAGGGTTCATTTTCATGTTGCTTAAGTCATGTGCTAATTTTAAAACTTTTTTTTAAAGGAAAACATCTTAACTAGACAGCGGCTTCTCTTTTTGTTGCATTAATTTTAAGCTTGGACCTCACTTGAGCTGTTTCTTTAGCATGTACTTAATTTTCATTTTAGTAAAGGTCACATTTATGTTTTTTTACTCCTTGATATGTAACTCTTTCTGCCCTTTCCATTAGTATAACCTTTCACATTTCTTTTTCCTCTCCTCATGGGAGAGACGTCATAGGAATTCTTTTGATATTATGAGTCACTTAAGTGGCTTGTTAGAGCCTTATTACTGAATTGAATTAACAAAGTGAATTTTCTTTTTTCTGATAAAGTACACATAAGCCTGTGGAACTGATGAGCATGGGGTGATCAATATAGCCAGCCTTTTATGGAAGCCTAAACATAGAAGCTGCATAGTAGGAATTAATATGCCTAAAATCTTTTGTGCAAATCTCTACCTTGATGATCTTAAATATATCCCATAGTTTCTGTCTGAATATTTATTATGTAGAAATAAATATAGAGCTTCAGCTGTCAGACTGAGTTTTTCTCCACCTCCTTGGTAGTTGAATTACAGGTTTTCACCTGTAAGTAGAGCATTGTATTTCACAGAATTATTTCCATTAAGGAATGACTCTCAATGTTAGCTTTAACTGAAAAGGCTTTAAAGTAGTACAAATACTGTACGACCACTTTTTCTAACTCAAAAGTGTGTCTTTAAAAAAATTAGTTCAGCTGTATTTAGCATTTACTTAAATTATGCTGAATTTGAATCCAGGGTAATGGAACAATAATCCTAGCATCTGACTTGACACTTTTAAATAATTATTTTTTCATCATGCATAACAATGACTGTCTCCTTTTTCTGCATTGCATCAGTTCTGCTGTTCTTATTTTATTTTGAAATGACTTTGCTGCCATCTCAAAGCATTAACAACAAAAATCAAATAGTTTTATATGTTTTTTATCATCTTGGTATATGGTGAACCTGAAGAATTCTTAAGCTTCATCACTATGTGATGTAAATAATATCTTTTAAAGCAATTCTGAGTACTTTGCTTCCTCAAATTTAAACAATTTGAGGTAATTAAGGAAACGAATAGTAGCATTTTTAGATAGGGAGTATTGCGCAGGGCTATTTTTTCTTAAACTCTTCATGTATCTCTGCATAATACTAAAAAAGACATATTTCCTCTTGATATTAAAAGGTGGGAGTATGTAATCCTGTTGGAGTTACTATGGTGAGAAATCTGAGATAACATATAGGAATTGCCAAAGTAAATGAAAACCTTTATATCTGAGTGCTTGTTTTTCTTCACCTCTCACACGCTCTCATTTTACTCAGTTTCTAATGTCTATCACTTCAACTTGTTTTGAATCTCGGTATTTCATGAAAAGTATTACTTTYTTTCCTTTGTTAAAGAGTACAAATCAACCCATAGGAATGAAATCGCTAACTTAAGTCATCCACCCTTTCAGTTTCCAGCTGCCTGGTTGACTATGTTTGATGCGGTGCTTATCCTGATCCTAATACCCTTAAAGGATAAATTGGTAGACCCTGTTTTAAAGAGGAATGGCTTGCTCCCATCCTCGCTGAAGAGGATTGCAGTTGGAATGTTCTTTGTGATGTGTTCTGCGTTTGCTGCAGGTAAGAAAATGACCTCTACTTGCATAGTTATGCTACTTGCAATAGCTCTGTTTTAAAAAAAAGGAAAACTTGCAAGTCTTTAATTCATTATTATTCAAGAGTGATTTGCAAGGAATTTTTTGAACACAGCAGCATGGATATGTTCCCCACAATGAAGGAGCTTTTACACAAAATATTAAGCTTTTTTGGTTATTTTAGTGATAAAACTGGAGCATTTTCTGCCTGAATAAGGGTGTGACTATACCTTTCAAAATAAACTTGCTAGTTAATGTTCTCAGGGCAGAGAGTTTACATTTGCAGACACACAACTGACAGTGTTATTTTTTTGGAAATATGATATAGAGGAATTATTTGTCTTTGGCCATGTTTTTTCAACCTAGACCTTAGCTTCACTGGTCAGTTCTTGGTTTGACTGAAAGTGTCTAGGAGCTGAATGTGAAGCCTTTAGTCTTCATAAAATAAAATTTATTGTAATGCAGAGGTCTGTGTTGTCTGATTTAGTGACCATTTATCTGGGAATAGATTTTTTTTTGCCCTGTAAAACAATATTCAGAATGAAGTATACACTACGTATAGTGTGTATGTGTGTAGATATACATTATATATAGTGTGTGTATATGTGTATATATATATAATGAGTATATAATCAGTATATATTACATATAATCTGACTTCCAAATACTGACAAAGCAGAAGTCTACTTAAATCTTCTGCCTATATGTGAAGTACTAAAGTTGGGTCATTGCCCAGCTTTGGTCTTTTTTTTTTTTTTTCCTCCCTACGTTTCCTCCCACTTTGGTCTTTTTTTTTTTTTTTTTTTTTTTTTTTTTCCCCTCCCCCCTACCTCAATGTTCTCTAATGTTTGGAAATTGTTGTAGTGTAAAATAGCTTAGCTGTAGCATGAAAGGAAAAAGATGGCATCTCTGTTTGAGCCATAAATCAGCTGCATTTGAGAGGATTTATAGTTGTTGAGCACTGCTGATGTGGAACTGAACATCTCTGAGCAATGCTTCATAGAACCTATAGCCTTCACATACCATCACTGTAATGAACATATTGATAAAGCATGATAGCATTATATAAATTAATTTCAGCACTTATATCTCCTATATTTTAGAGAGAGGGACATTTTATTGAGCTATTAAGATTTCTCTCAACGAGAGAGATAATTACCTTATGAGGCCAAGGTCACTTTGTATGTGGGCAAGTAAAGTTTTTACAGCAAAGTCACTGAAACTTAAAATAGGAATGTTTCTCTTATTCCATGTAACTTGGGAAAACTGCAACCAGCATAGGAAGATAATTTAAAACATCTAAATGTCAGCTCTTTAGATAGATCTTGCTGGCTCAATCTATAAGTAAATTCATAACCAGCAAAATATATCTATATTAATCCTGAAAAAAAAACCCATGTTGAACTATCATGACTGACTTGGGGAGTGATTTCATATAGCAGAATTCTTTAAAATTTCAATTTTTTGTTAACAGTTCACCTACAAATGTGATGCATGATTTTGTTGGTTTGATCCTTGCCAACTCTTTCACAGTAGAACCTGTGAACGTCAGTTCTTTAGTCTTTGAAAATATTATTTGCTTTCTGGCTGGAAAGTTTAACCTGTTAAAATAGCATAACATAACATTCATTATAATATGAATTTGAGATCTCCGATTGCAACTACCTTGCGGTGTAGGGAACTGCACTTCTTTTGAGGGAGAGGAAGCTTCTGTTGATTTATAAATTTCATAACTTTTTTTATTCTCATTAAATGGTGTTTCTAGAAACCATAATTTAATATTCTCGAAGTACAACATCACTTCCAAACATTCCTGCTTCAAAGAGGCACTGATTAAAATTGGAATGTATGAAGATGTTAATCACTAGCAGTCTTGGAAGTATCTAAATGATTTATTTGTGGCATACTTCCATTTTGACTTACTTATCTAACTGGCATTAGTTCTGGACACTATATAGGCTGCCTATTAGATTGTTTAGATTATTTTAAATATCTTATAAACTGTGTGAGAGTACAACTTATTAGATTTAATGAACATCTGCTGTGCTTCATGCAYTTCATCGTAATTTTTGAGCAGCAGTACTTAAAGTTATTCAGCTTTAAAATCTACTTCATTTATAGAGTTTAAACAATTATGGCAAGAATTAAGATTCTTTTAACTATTAAAATTGTAAGATTAAATGTGAAACTTATTGCTATCAAAGTGTAAGATCGAATCAGTAGATTCTGGCTTCTAAAACATTCAGTTTAGCAGAGAAATTTATGGCAAAATTTGATAACATGTAGTTATGGTCTTTGGGGGGGCTTCTATGGAAGAAGAACTGCATTTCTTGAAATAACAAAAGTAACCTGCAATTATTTATATCAGGAAATAAAGAAGTATATATACTGATTTCATAACCTCTAATTGTCATACAGGACTATTAATTAAATTCATAATGTGAAGAAACTGTTTGCATTTTAGGTCTTTTTTTTTTTTTTTTTCCCCCTCCCCTTCCTCCCTCACCCCATGTAGGAATTCTGGAAAGCAACAGACTGAAAGTTGTAAAGGTTAGAACAATTAATCAGACAATTGGAAATGTTACATACCATGCTGCAGATTTGCCAATATGGTGGCAGATTCCTCAATATGTGCTGATTGGATTCAGTGAAATATTTGCAAGTATAGCAGGTAAGTCTTTGGTGTGTGCTTTAAAACTGCCTCTACATACCATCTATCATGAATGAGAGGTTCAAAAATAAATATTTACTTTTCAAATCACTATAAGCTGTAATGTTCCCAAGTATAATAACATACAATACACTCAAATATGTGATAGCAAAGCACTCTTTTTTTTTTTTTTTTTTCACATTTGTAAACTGGCTATGTGAAAAGTTATTTTCCTGACTGAGTTTCAAGAAAAGTAACATCTAGACTATTTGCGTGTCAGCCAGTCAGCAGAAGATATTTACCCTCTTTTGTAGAAAAAAAGATACTTGTCCAATGCTGTATTTGGAAGAAGAGTTTTCATGATGTGTTGTTTCCTCTGAATTCTCAGCACATGTTGCAAATAAAATTCATGTTTCATCATTTTGTGGTTTAAAAGCTGAGCCTACAGTTTGGAAAATTGGCTACTATTTGGAAACACCTATTAGAGATAAAGGAAAAGATGAAACCATCTTAGTAAGGTTTGTCACCAATTCAAATTCATACAAGTTGAATTCTTGTGATTCTGAAATAAGAAAAATCCCATGTAATTAAAAAGTTAGTTTGGGGGGATTATTAATAATAGAGTAACTAAGTTTTACACTAAGTTTCTGCCTTATTTATAGTGCAGCTTTTCTGAAGTTATTTAATACTTCATGATACTAGAACAAACACAAGTGATCTTACATTTCTTAATACTGTTCTGTATGATGTGTGAACTGCTGTTTGATTATAGTGATTTTAAGCTGAAAGTAAAGTGGGTGGAGAGGGCGAATAGGTCTATAAAATGTTATTTTCTGGTCTGTTTCATATTCATGCAGGGCTCATTAGCACAAAGAAACCCACAGGCAGTTTATCTGCTGTCACTGTGGTGTGGCTGGCACAGGTTTATTATGATTAAACAAGTGAAATGCTATTGTGAATTTTTAGCACAGTATTTACACGTTTAATGCTTGGGAGCAACACCTAGGTACCAGTAATAGAAACTTTTTGTAATCTTAGATTTGTTAAATTGCTTTTCTGTTATTACTTACGTAGAATTGTAGAGCTGGCTGGTTTATCAGAGCTCCCCCAGTGACTCCAGCATTTCCTTAATGATAGTTACTTCCTAATGCGTTTTTAATACTGGTTCAGAATGTTGAATGTTGAAGATCATCCATTTATATCCACCTTACACATAGCTCATCCCCTCAGATTCCGTAGGACGGAATTTCCTCTTCTCATTTTCTCTCCACAAGACTAGTCTCCTACCTTGTGCTAGGGAAGTTTAAGCTGGCACGCTCCAGTTCTCTCTGAGAGGGTAGTTGCAGCTGTCCCATGGGCTGCTTGTGTCTGCTCTGGAGAGGGAAACAACTTCTCCCCTGTCAAGTTTCTGATTRCATGTCTTGCACTATCATGACAAGTGGGAAATAAAACCAGGTGGACAGGCTGYTTGGCAAACAGGAAGAATGTGGCTTTTGCCTTTTTCTCTCTCTTACTTTGCCTTATGCCCTTTTTTAATAAATACTAGATTTCTGATAACCTTTTGTCAAAGTTAGTAAAACTTTCAACACGCTTAAAATCTAGCATATTTAGAGGCTGCTAATGTTCATGCCAAAATTACTAACTTTTAAATTTATATTTTTATAAAATGGATAACTTGCATATTGACAATGACTATTATCAGTTTATTGSTGTTCCCAAGCAGAAAAAAAAATGTATCTGCAGTTTATGAAAAGCTCAAGGGCAAAAGGCCCTGTTTGTTGAGCTCCAAGTTGAGGATTGTTTATGCTTTTTTAGTGGGCTTCATGGGAAGTAAAATCTGGAAGGCTTTCACTATTCTTAACGTGAATACCCTGCTGTTCTTTTGCACTTGCTACATCTGTTATAACAGCTTTGTAGCTTCAAAACCTGTTAGCTGGCCAATGTTGGAAAAAAATGCAACTGCTTCTGCTAGAATCAGAGATTCCAGGCAGATCCTAATTGCTTTGTGTGTTACACTTTCATACAATTTGTTTTACAAAGCGAGTTTTTTTGCCCACCTTGGACTTCTGATCCCTATCTAAAGTGATTTTTTAGTGTTTTTAAGAAGGTCTCTCAAGGCTTAGTAGAGGATATTTTACTACTTTGTTACTGAATGTTGATAGAGGCATCTCTTGTGCTATGAACTTCAGCTTTAGAAAAAGCCAAGTGTTAATGGTTAAAGCTATACTGATTTRGAAGCATTTATCGTGAACAAAAAAGGACTAAATATCATAAGGGCAGAAACATAGGTTTGTTTTTGTTTACTGTAAAACTAAGCATATTCTTATTATGCCGTGTTAGTTCCACTTGAGGTACCTTTTAAAAGATGACACACATTGCATTAATCTTTTGTATTAGTCTGTCAGTCCTCTTAAAGCACCCCTATTTAGCTGGGAGTCATAATCTCACATGACAACACCAACTAGAAGGTTTAATTTCAAAATCGCTTGTTTGAGGTAGCATGAAATCGTTATCAATGGCTGCCAGCAGGCAAGAATATCTCTGAAGGCAAAGAAAAGATTCTGTGTTCTTTATGCCAGATTAAATATTAAGGTCACTGAAAACACTATTCAGGTTCAGAAACGTGACTTATTTTGTTGTGAAAAGTGCATAGTGTTATATCTATTTTAGTTTTTAGATTTTTTTTTACAGTAATACTCAAATCCARTGCATCTCTCTAAATGGACAATGACATCCTCTTTCATGTGATGTGCTTGAGCTTAAATTGTTCAATATGTACAAATCCTGGTAAGCAAAATGTGACTGATGCTTTGGAGATCTGTGAAAACTGTGGTAGCTTCACAAGAGAATAAGAACAAGCTACTTTATCATGAAAGTAGTGAGGTTTTTTTTTTTTTTTTTTTTTAGGTGAAATTGCCCAGATAAATATTCTGTGAAAAATCTGGGCTGTTATTCTAGTGATAAAACACTGAAAACAATTTTGGTTTCTAATTCTCAGACTAAATGTGGCTCATTTTCCTTGTTTACCACCTGACTGCCTCTTCCATCTCTACAGATATTGTCTCATTCCCATTTGAATTTAGAGCTGTACGGAGCTCAGTTGCACCAAGGATATTTCAGTTCTCTTCTGGGCTGACATTTTGAAGAGGAAAAGAAAAACTTCAGGGTGGTTATTTGAGATTTCTCATGAGGCAGTGCAAAATGCTCTCAGGTCAATAAGTAAAAAACATACTAGTTCTGATTCTTTTACAAGAACAGAGTTGCTCCCTCACAACGGGCAAATTGACCTGACTTGCCTGAGGTGTTAAGCCTTTTCTTCAAAGGAAATGCAAYTGTTTTTCTATTAAACTCTGCCTCAAATAGCAAAAGTCAACACTGGTGGTGAATGTAAAGTGTACCTTTATTATGCAGACATATGACTCGTCCTTTTGTAGGTCTATTATGCTATTTTTGCCAAGAAAAACAATAGGTGAGGCAGCGGATGCTCTCATTAATTTCAGTAAGAGGCAGCCTATTTTGAAATAAGCATTTCATCCGTCAGAGAAAAAGTGCCGCAGAGACTGTATTTAACTGTCTCTTGTGAATAACCCCATTTAATTTTTGGCAGGAACACTGTTCTAAAAAGTGTTAATCAGGAGCATTAGTCTTTGCAAGGCAGCGCCTAACCCAGCGTGTCCTGCTGGTGCCCAAATTCGCTAGTACAGATTGTTTTTAAATTGACACAACTGGCTTTTTTCCTGTTTTTATTTGTTGAAACCTAAATAAGGAGAGCTTGGAGTTTAAGCTCCATTTCTGCAATGCTTCAAAGAACAGACAGGCAACTAGTTGACTCGGAGTATTCTAGATCAAAATTAAATTAAAATTAATTACTTCCTTTCCAGCTAAAATTAATTTATCTGCCTGCACATACTGACTCACTGTCTGTCTGTATCTCTGAGGGAAATAAGTGCTCATGGTCAGTGCAAGCGTGTCCTTCAGTTCCTAGTACTGTTTTTCTGAGCAAGGAAGGCCATGTGCTTTATAAATGCTGCACAACAGAAACAAATGAAACGGAGGACATGGRAATGGAGCTGCCAGGTTCTTTGAACATCCATGGCAAGGCAATTACTTGAATCTCTAGGCCATTTCTTAACTAGCAAAAAGAGGGAACATGGCTGGTCCTGAGTCATTCTGCCACTTTTTTTTTTAGCTTCTATTACACTGAACTAGAACAAACCATTTTTATGTCCTATATCTTACAATTACAATATTTTTCTTTTAATAAAGGTCTAGAATTTGCCTATTCAGCTGCTCCCAAATCCATGCAGAGTGCTATTATGGGGCTGTTCTTTTTCTTTTCGGGGATTGGATCATTTGTTGGCTCTGGACTGTTGGCTCTGGTGTCTATTAAAGAAATCGGCTGGATGAGTAATCACACAGATTTTGGTAAGTTATTTTCATGTATTCCAATTCTCTAAAGTAAAAGGCTTCTTTCAGAAATAATTAAACTTTGAGCATATGGAACTGTTGTCGCTTAATGTGGTATTATTTTGACATTATAGATTTATTTACTATTGCTTTAAAGACAATTTAGTCTTCATCAGTTACTGTTCAACTTTGTTTTATTGCATTTCATCACTAGAAATTACTTAGAACRCTTTGTATGTTAGTGAAAAAAACATTTAAGTGAGCTATCACTTTAAGAATAAGATTATATTGTCTTTAAAGTCCTCGAATCATTCTGGAGGTATGAGGAGTAAAATGTATGCAGCTTGCTTTTAGTGATTATTCTGCTTTCTAGTTTCAGGAGACTTCCTGGCAATAACCATGAGTTAATTTTGTATTTCATTCTGTTTGCTTTTTCTAATGTTTTTAAAGTCCAGTGCAACTTAAGCTTTCTATTGTTGGTTGACGTTAAAAATAATTATTGGCACCAGTAGGTGGCACCTYGGGAATTCCAGAAAAATCATCCCATCCTCACTGGTTTAATTAGTTCCAACAGGAGGAGTGTGTAAACAGGTCTTAAAACAAGTGCTAGCCCTACTGTGCATGCACAGCTGCACAAACTTGCTTTAAATCTGGTCTGAGCCTATTTGCCATRTAAACCAGCTTTGGATGTTACCAAAGAGTAACGCTGTCTGAAACAATGAGTTTGCAGAAATAAATGTTAATTTGTGATATCATCTGTGGTAACTGAGTGCCTCCAAAACCTAGCAGGGTTGCTGACTCTGCTGGCAGCTCAGCGTTGATTGCTGTCATYGAAATGACTGTTATTTCTATGACAAAAACTGAGACTTCATGGASTCAATATCCTATCTCATAAAGGATAATTACTGCTTTTTAAACACGCCTGCTCCTGAAATGGAGTTTCACATGTATATTATATTTTAAATGTCAAGGAAAGACTCAATTTTATTGCATTTTATTATATATTCATTTAATTGAATCTTAAGTTTCTGTAATTAAAGTAATTTAATCTGAACATTTTTATGCATGCTGCATGAACAGCTTGTCAGGATGGATGTACAATTCACTATTTTTACTCCCTCTATCCTTTCTGATGGTTATAATGGTCCAGTTGGCTGTGGCTCATGTGGCACATTGGATGCGAGCCACAATATATTGTTCTTGGAAATACAGCAGGAGTTAGTGTACAGTTCTTAACAGAGGAATAATGTTTTGGCAATGAGCTCCCTTAATTTAGCATTATTTAATGTGCTCCAAATCACTAATTTATAGCCATTTTGAGGGAGTGGCAAAGGTGAATTGAAGCATAAGAAACTGCATAAGGTTCTGCATGCTCTTCACTTTGTTCTAAAAGAAATCTGAGAAGAAAAATTGCTTTCTTTCTACCTAAAAAGTTGCCAAAGCTTTTCCCTAAAAGCATACGTTGTTGGGATTCTCTGATTTCTTYCTTTGGCTTAGCAAAGGCAGCAGGTACTGGCCCTCCTGTGCACAGATACCATGAAATGCTAAGCTAGGCTGAGCAGACCAACGGAGAGGGCTTTTAGTGTAGAAGCACAGTACAAATATTCATACTTTTACCTAGTTCAGTTAAGTTGTAAAACTTAAAGCTTTTTTAAAAACGAACAAAATTATTTGTCCGAGTTAAAGGAAGCCTGTTGGGGAGCTGACATCTGGCACTACTTCTGTCTTGAATGTTACATTTCATTTTGAGCAGTTTCTGAACAGTTTACAGTCTAGACTATTTGCAGGAATTTCTCTGGAAAAAATCCATTTAATGGCTGCAACTTAAGTATGTTTTCTGTTGTTGCTTTAAAATGAATTGTCTGTACAAAATTGATACTGATCTCTGCTTACCCCAAGGAAAAGAACAAATCATATATGAAAATAAACATTTTCAGCTGTTTTGTCTTAAGTTTTGTCTTAAGGAAAGCATTGCAGTTTTACAACTAAAGATACCATMCTTAAAATGTATAGGTATATACGTTAGCCTCTTAAAACTGTTGCGACTTTCCCAAGGCAGCCCTTGGATGTAGGTATAGGCTTTGTGTAGCAGGAGCTTTCTGCATTTTTTTTTAAGGGAAATCATCCTGTAAGAGCATTGCTGGATCCACAGGGAAATTACTTAGCTTAAGGTACGGGAGCACCAAGGAAAGTTCTCTTCAGACTTTGCATCTTCCTCAGAAGTTCAATCTTTTGTTCAGGATAATTGGAAAAGAATATATGTTCAGTCTTTTGAAAATACCATGCGGTTTGTGTTTATCCATACTGTTGCAAGAAAATCTTCATTACTGAGGACCGAAGGGACTGATATTTTTAGTTATATATTCTTTATTTATGCTTCTTTTTTTTTTCCTCTTCCCAATTTTTCCTAGGTAACATTAACGGCTGCCAATTAAACTACTACTTTTTTTTGTTGGCTGCCATCCAAGGAGCCACTCTCCTGCTTTTCCTCATTGTTTCTGTGAAATACGATCATCAAAAATCAAAGATCAATGAGCCGGCAGCCAACGGGAGGATCTGAGGACTGTTCCGAACAGACTTCCTAGCAGCAGCAGCCAAGGACACGCCGCGCACGGAGCCCGCGAGATCGTAGGTTTGCTCCAGGGAGCCTCTCTTGTTAGACTTGCACGTTACGGGCGTTCTCGCCCCTGCCCCTCTCACATCACGTAGGTAAGTGCCTTATGTTGGCGGGGCTCGTTTCTTGCACTACGTCCGGGCAGGACAAACACCAGTCTTGGAAGCGTATTAACTATAGACATTCAGGTTGCTCTTTGTTAATCCCAGGATGTTTACTTAGCTCTTAAAAATTGGGACGTTTGCACTTGGAGTGTAACAAGGCACTGCTAATCAGAGAAAACTTCTGTAATGTGGATGGCYCCCCAGCTGAAAATCTCCCAAGTGAAGAGCTGTGGATCTAGATAACTGCCCAACGGTTTCAAGCTCACATTGGAGACTCGTAGGAAAGAAACGATTTTGCAAGAAGTTCAAACAGCGGTTAAAAAAATAAATCGTATATCCTGGAAGTCATTTTTGGGGGAGAAAGAGGGTCAAATTAAATTGTAGATTAGCTCCAATGTAAAAAGGAATGTAGTTTATAATTGATGTTCCCCGGAAGTATTTCAAGGATTGAAGTCCACAGTTGCAATCAAGAGTATCCAGCGTGGAAGACTGAACTACAAGTTGCAGTAGCTTGACACAGAGCAGCTTTTAGTGCACAATAAGCAGTTGTTGGGACTGAAATAGTTTTGCTTCACAAATGTTTTTAATTTAGGRTCAGCATTAGATGCATCAGGCCAATATGGAAACATACATTTTGTAACTAAGTGTATGTCCAGTCTAATGCTGTTGCCTCCATGAAGAATATTTTAACTATTTGCAAAACTCAGGTGGCTTTCTCAGCAGCTGAATGCATCATCAGTTCAGAAGCCTCTTAGCCAGCTCCTGCAGTCCTCTGTCTCGGTTCTAGCTAACGTGCTACAGGGCTCATAACTTTCAGCAACACATTCCTATAGCAAATGGCTTTACATTCAGCCTCTTAACTTTAATGATTCTAACAGTTGTATTTCAGAGTGTGTGCAGAGCAGTATGGAAAGCAATATTTGCGAGGAATTATGCRGAAAGAAAATGAAATCTCAACTTTTTATTAATGTACTGAATTTTTATAGTTTCTTTTGTCTGTGTTTAAGTTGTTAAAATGCCTTTTTTTGTATGTGGACATCTTTGTAATGAGTTTACAAAATAAAATGAACTTCCATGCTGTGACTTTTGACCTTTTGTTTCTAGGTGAATAAAATTATACTCCAAGTATTTTGTTCTTTAGCTTTTATTTTCCTAAACCTTTCCTGTTCTCTACTCTGTCATGAGCATACAGTAAATGTCTGCTTGTTTCTTTAGGGCTAGGGCTGCTCTAATGCTCTGGGGAAGAGACTGAACATGCAATCAGTTGTATAATTTAATTTTTATTTGGAATGACTTGGCTGAGCTCCAGGCACAAGTAATTATGACCATTTATGAAGATTAATCTGGCACTTCTCATCAAAAGGATGAGGCCTTTTGTGTCTCCGAGGCTTAGCTCATTCTTCCTTCCAGTCTTTTCTTTTAGAACTTCCACTACAGTCACAGAAATAAGATTAATCAATTAACTTTGTGACTGAGCACTGCACCTCATTAAAGAAATACCTTGAAATGTGCAGTTTGAATTTAGTTATAGTCACTTCACAGATTGTTCCAGTGCAGCAGAGAGATCTGACAGGAATCACCCTCCGTGGACCTTTCTAAGGCTCTGACTTTCCCAGGTACCTTAAATTCACCACACAGCACTGAAGCATAAGCACTTGCTAAGCAGGACAGCATCTAGCATCTTAAAATTTGTTACTGCTGTTCACAATAAATTGTGGGAAAAAATAAGCGCATACCTTACACTGGCCATAACTATCTATAATCTAACCATGTGTGAAGAACATCTGCACTGTACCCTGTGTTTCATTTGAGATCACGAAGTGGATGTATAGGATATAAGCTCCTATAACTTGCTGAACTGGTTTTACTGGGCCTTTTATGTCCAAAGTCTATATTGAATATTCCTCTTTAGAAAATGGGAGACCTTTAACCTTSTTTTTCTTTGCCTCTATACAGTAGTCTCAGCATAGATTTTGTGTTCTCTRCATCAGCAGAAAGAGCAGTTGTCAAAACCTGGTTGGATAGTACGTGGGTGAACTTACACATGTGTTCAAACATGCTTTGCTAGGTGTCTAGTGGTTTATGAACCTGCATCCTRTTAGAGTAAGAAGATGAAACAAAGGATGGAAAAATGTTCTATTTCCACAGTCAAGAATTAATTACAACCTGTCCCTAGTACTGCGTATTAACACTTGAAAAGTAGGTAAAATAACTCAGTGTATTGGGGAATTACCAGAACATTATAAACCAAGAGTTTTCTTAAAGGGCTGGTTTATACCCAGAAAAATGAGGACTTACTTTTCTTTCCACTCCTTGATTAATTCCGGACTCCATCAGACGCATTTTTGATTATCTTTCTTTAACAGGCTTCCTTTATCAGGATCTTCTCCTACAGTGAATAAATGCAAAATAAGAACATAACATTAACAGATGTCCTCCTGCTCCAGGTACATCAACATCCAACCTCCTGCTCCAGCAACATCAACATCCACCCAGACTCGGGTCTAGTCTACCCCAATTGCAGGTATATTGAGACTGCAGTGGAGGGATACTCCAGCACTGCACTTCCTTCATTGCCTCACAGCCACAGTACTTCACTGTGCAGTATTTTACATCTCTTTTGCTTGGAAGTGTTACATCAGTAATGAGATTTAGTGATACACCACAGCCCATAAATCACTTCTGACAGGGAAAAGAACACTTTAACAGAGCAAAAGAAAATAAGGTAAATATTGCATAGGCCTTTTAAGATGGGACTTCAAATGGATAAAATGCTTTTTGAAAGCTGTAAAGTGTTCTTGACTATCTCTGTACATTTAGTGCTGTACATCACAATCACTTTCTCTGTCCCATCACTTTTCTGAGGGTAGTTTTCACTTTATGTTGAGCTCTAAGGAGACCCTAAGGTCTTGAATCCTTCTGCCTGCTGTAGCTATGGAAACTGCTCAATCCCGTGTACTTACACACAATGACTAGAGCATATTTAAATAGCAGTAGTTGTTAAAAACTTGATCACAGTGACAAATGGCTCTGCTGTCAGGCAGCTCCTCTGGAGACTAAGCGTCTGTGAAGAGCAGAGTTCTGCTCAGAGGTGGGACACAGGGGAGGGATTTTCAGGCAGATTGCTGTGCAGACACTTATGATTAAAAAATGCAGGACTCCCATTAATTTCATATTTTGAAACTTTGAGTGGTCCAGAGGCACAGCTTCCTAGAGCTGACAGATTAATATACTGTGGAGAAAAATCTGGATCAAGTTTCCAAAGCAGTTCATGAAATGATGAAGACAACTTATTGGCAGACCATGACGTGAGTTTTCATCCTGCTCTTGGCTAGAAGGACGATACGAGAAGGCAGCAACTCCCGAGCCAGTGAATAGAGGCCAGTCAAGTGCAGCACTATATTTAGATTCTTTCCTTTGAGAGATACCCAAAGATGTCACAGGGTTTTGATGCGGACTCCAATATTGTCTTAAATGTCACAGATAGGGGGAATTCAACTGATGACTGTTTTAAAASCAGCATTGCTGTGGTCCACCTTGTATAGTTTCTACATGATCTCCTACAGCTGCTTCTCAGATATCTGTCTGTCTTGAGGCATAAAAGCGTTAAGACGTTTTAAAAACAACGGATGAATCGAACATTTTAAACTAACCTGAGTTAAATAAACTGGTGGCACATTTCATCTATTTCAGCATTAAATAGAACCTTCTCRCTGCTGCAAGCCTGTAATTTAAGGGTTGATAAATTTTATCTCGATTTTTCTAGAAATGAATTGAAAACAACCCAAATGTTTCTTCTCCAAGGCCTGAAGGACTAAAATGAGGCAGGTGATTGCTCTCAAATAGCAGACATTTTACCTCAAAGGCATGTTAGAAACATAAAACAGGTGTTCCTCTGCCAGTAAATACAGCACTAGCGCTGTCAGAGACAGATTACTCAAAACAGCAAGAGAAAATTGAATAAAACAAGCAGAAGTGATGTTAAATTCTTCCACTTGCTGCATATATCTCTTCTGCTGTAATCCAAGCATTTATGATATCATATATTTTTATATGGCGAAAAGCTTTAAAATTAATGATTTGTTACTGCATATTCTCATTTCTTCACTGTTCGTTATTACATGAAAAGTCTGCAGAGAGATTTCAAGGAGTTTTGATATTTTAGTAGTTTATTTGAGCACTGTGCTTCAAATCAGTGCCTGAAGAGCCACCCTAAATCAGAGGGGAGAAAAACACAATCCAGACAAATAAGGGACTAGGCAGTTGTCTGCAATTGCAAATATCTAGAAGTGCATCAGTCTGTCATAACCTCCTCATATCCATATTTAGTGTAAATTAAAGTGTAATAATTTCCAAAATTCTGTTGTGCATGCCCATAACCCTCATCATCACTTCTGAATTCCAACCCATCAAGTTTCATCTCTAGTATTATGGAATTGTTCTACATGATACAAAACAGTGCAAACTCGAGTGCTTCTAAAACCATGAAGTKCTACAATAATTTCAAGTAGCTGTGTGCTCTGCAGAGCACTCTCCTGTTGCTGGGACTCTTCAAATATTTTTATAAGGATATCAAACTGGAATGTCTTTGGATGTAAAAATGGAAGACATCAAAACACTTTCAATACCCCGTGAGCAGCACTTCGGGGATCTTGAAAAATAATTGCACTTTGCAGCTTTCTGAACCTGATGTGTGTACGTTGATGCAGTTAAAGCAAGAGATTTGTCTCTTAGGGAAGTGTTCCCAAGGGTAGGTCCGGAGCCTGAGCCTGCCTGTACATCCCTKTAAAGGGGTCTAAGGAAGTTTTATATGAGCTCCAGGCTCTCAGCAGTCGGTGTAAACTACTTCAAGCTTCTTTAAAGAGATGCCTGATTCGGGTTTCAAATTATTTTTGTTTTGTTTTTGCACAAACAAGTTGGGTTAATTAAAACTSTATCACTGCATCGCTCGGTCCTGCAGACTGCAGCGGGGAAACAAGCGGCGATAACACCCGCCTTCAATTTCCTCTCTTCCCTGGCACAACGGACGCCTTTTTCTCCACCTTTTGAAGACGACACAAAAGCATYTCTGGAGTTAATAAAATGATACGGGGTCATTTTGTAAGAAAAAAAGTTAAACATCTAGCCCGTTTATTGCAGTATATTAAACTCTGCTTTGTTATTCATACCTCCCTGACACTTTGCTTCCCATTAATCCTGCCTCCCACCCACCTCCGAGCCCTGAAGGCGGCAGCGAGAGACAAAGCGGAGCGTCYGTGGGCAGAGCGCACRGAAGGGATGTGGATAGTTTTGTTTGCARTGAGCCCGGTAAAATCACTACATGCTGAAAAACTGTTAATTATTAAAWCCATCAATTTGTATCTGATGTCAGCAGGAAGATGGACAGCGAGGTGAGACGGTTCAGTGCAAAGCCGGTCCTAAAAGCAGCTCCGCTCTGCTTACRTAAGAGCCAAAACAGGGCAGTATCTGTTGAGACCAACTCCCAAGTCTGGCTTTGAAGAGATTCTGCTCTCAGTAGCAGAGCGATTTCAGGTTGAGCTTCTAGTCCCCTGCTTCCCTGAGGAGGACAGCAGACATCCCTGGTGCCACAGACCCCTGCCTACAGGTGCCTTCGCTGGGGCAAAAGAGAAGGCAATTTCTGCCTGATTTGAACCTACTGGGCTGTTGGCTGGCTCGGACCAGGYTTATATTACCATATTTCCACAAGAAGAGGTGTTTGGAGAAACAATTAAATCCAAGATCCCCCAGTCCTGCTCCCAAAGGGAGCTGTGCTGACTGCTAGTCTCACGGCCCTGTGCTAAAGCTGCGCTAAGGCAAGAAACCTTTCAGGGCAAAACAGTTTTACAGCAAGTTTTTGCAACATTCCCTTTATTGCAGACCCTTTGTTCAGTCTAACTTTTTGCTCTCTTCCATTGCCATGGAAAGAGCACTATGGAAATGAGCGCCCGGGTTATTAGGGAGGACAACGGCGGCGGCACCTCAGCCCATCACGGGATTCACCCGTGTGTGCAGGCCCCGCGGAGCAGCCGGGCAGGAGCCCGTTCCTGCCRCCGCTTTTTCAAGGTCAGGTAACAA